CATATTGCTGGCAATGGGGCTGTCAAACTCCATTGCCAACAATCCCTTTCCCCCCAGATCAATATAGTTTGTATAAATACAAATAACTAGATTTCATTTCAGCAATGGATTTCATTATATTTCATATGCACATCTGATGTAGCGCATTTGATTAACAATAAAAATATTGTTTTTAAAATTTGTGTATACCTAACTAGGCAATCACCTGATATAATGTATTTTTATAGCTTTATTTACTATCTACATTTTTCTAAACCGTTAAATATGTACATATTTCAGTTATTCATGATTTATTCTTTAAATAAATTATATAATACTATTATCGTTAAACTAAATAGAATTACATTAAATTGTATCACTATGTATACTTATTTTGTATACCAATTATAGTTTTGGCGGGACTTGTAAGTTGACATGCGAAATAACCATGGATAGTACCAAGAGCCTTTGCAAATAGATAATTTTATTTTAAATTCTTTTAACGGTCATAATTTACAAAATATCCCTAATTATTATATTGCATATTCAAAAATGTACGAACACAACTAAATAAAATAATAAACTATTTATTATATGAATACTACAAGTAGGTATAAATTGTTATCTACGTTAGTTATGTATTAAAAATGAAAGACTTTAGATTTATGTACTCAACACCTTCCATTTTAACTAATTGAATTCAAATATCTTCCCCTTTATTTCTAGTTACATTATTGAATAATTTAGATTATAGACATTTAGTTACGAAACGAAAATATATTAATATTAATTGTTTTTACTGCGACAACATAATAAAATGTTACCTAAATAGGTGCTGATTACAAAGAGCATATAATAGTAATAGTCTAGTAACACTTGTTCATTTTATTTGCTCTCAACTTCACGTTTTTTCATTTGAAACGCCCGACAAGCATATCGCTTTAGTCGAAAAAGGTACTTGATTTTATAATAAAGCAATTTATTCACCGTAAATGGGAATTCCATTCAATCCCGGCAAAAAGAAAAAAAATTTCTTTGGTGTTCTCATGTCGACAAAGTTTTTCTATACGCTTCTAGTCTTTCATAGTCGGGGTTTGTTTGATATTAATGAGAGTAAATTTAAAAAAGTTGTTTTACTATGTAGTACCTAAGTACCTCGTTTGTGCATTCGTGTGTGTTCGACAAGTAAGTTCAACCAACTGCGTGATGGAAAGACATAAAAAGGAAACCTTACGTAACTGGCAGGTTGTTGAATATTATACAGCAATTACGTACTCAGATTGAAAAAAAATATATAGAAATTAATGTACCTACAGGTATTTTTTCTCGATCGAAAATGTTTATTTTTAGATATAAGAATCTATATTGGATATACAGATATAATGTAGGTATTATAAAATTGATAATAGGGTTGAAAAGTCTGTATGTACATTAAGTGATCTTTTCGTAAAAATTATCATAGGTGAGAATAAAAAAGCGATGGAATCCAAATTAGACATTATTAAAATTAATCTGTCTATCTACTTAAGCCCTTAAGGCGTCAAGAGGTAACAAAAACACAAACAAAGAAATTCTTTTTCACTTTTTAGAGTTTTATTTCTTAACAGGAAAAAGAGAACTGCTATACGATCATCTATTGTCCTTCGTCTGTCAAGACCTTTTTTTCTCACATCTAAAGGTGTGAAATTAAAAATAATATCAAATATTTAAGTGCAGACTTTTAAAAGTTGTGAAAAATCAAACTACTAAATCAACGCATCAAAAATGTACGGTCGTTTATAGAGTATATTCTGACATTTGCAAGAGTTCAAATTCTACAAAATAGTTCCCGTTAGCCTAGAATCATTAAGTTTGACAAGAAGCAATGTCATACAATACAAGGAAACAATCTGAAAAACCGTAAATTGGATACATATTACAAAAGTAAAATAACTTTTCTAAAAAATTTTTAAATTATAATTTGAACGGAACCTTCAGTGCGCAAGTTCGTTTAGGACTTAGAGGGTTTTTTGAAATATCGTAAAACGGTAGGGATTCACGTCTTCCACCCAACTTTTGAACCAAACAACCAATAGAATAGATTAGCATTACATTTTATATTACATTATAGTTTGTTTGCTTTTTTATTATAGTTAATTAATATCACATTGAAGTCTTAGTAATTTAGTTATCTACATGCATACATTATTATAATAATCCGCTTAAAAATTAAATAAACGTAATAACTACGTTGTAAAAAATATACATAAAAACAACTCCTTTCTGTCTTCAACGAAATAACATACCACCAACTTCTAGTAAAACTATAATGAAAAATGCTGAACAATTTTATTGTTATTTCATTATTTTTAACTATTTAAACATACGAGTATATCTATTATAAAGAGAAATCATTTTGAAATTTTTGTTGGATTTTTTCTTCAATGGATAACTCAAAAAATGTTTAACCGGTTTTAAAAATCCCTTCACCCATAGAATGTAACGAGTAACTAATATAAAAAAAGAAAAAAAAAGTCCTACCTATTTACCTATATAAAGCCGGGGCTGGTCGCTAGTATCAAATATTAATTACTCTGTACGTTAGTACATGTCTGGATCATATTGAATTTATGCAGTATATACATATAATATTATTACAAACATTTAACTTCTTGAAATAAAAATCCATCATCTGTGTAAAATTATAAAAGTTTTGACGAAAAATGTATTAATTAAACGTGGCGATGCGTCGGGGAGCAGCTCATCAAAAATGTATAGAATTCGTATTATTTGCATAAAAGTCATTTTATTGCTTCGAAAGACAAACAGAATGGGATATTAGCTGTTGGAATGAATCCAAAATTGCTATGCGAACTACGCCTATTTTATACAAACGAAGTGCTGATATCTAGTTACCTGCCTCATTTTTGCATTTTAAGCTTTTCAACAGAGTTTCGCTAAAACATTGGTAATTTTTTGTAGAAATTTCAAGATTAATAAAGGTTGCTTTAGACTGAAATAATAGAGAGTATAAAATCAGAGCCGCGATATGGGACTATTAGAATATGTATATAAGAGACTAAACCCTATCGATAGTAAAAATTAAAAAAGCAAAATCATGATATGATCATGATTTTTTTTACTACAATACATATTTAGTCAAAAATTGTCAAATATATATCACATTGTATCTATACTTACAAAAATATGAATAAATAATATCCTTTTTGAAGTCGCTTAAAAAGTCAAGATCAACATACAAAATTTTACAAAAATGCTTTAATTAAAGCAATGAAAATATTGACAAAATGTAGGAGTACTCTACGCTATTTCGTAGAACTCACGTTTACATGAAACATAAACTGGAAAACTAGGGGAACGAAGGTTCAACCGCTCGGTCCACTTTTGTTAATGAGGCATTTGATGTTACAAGATGATATAGACTAATTACAACTAATACGTTAGCCAGACGCTTAGTATAGGAACATTTTTTTTTTTGTAATACGAAGCAAACAAACGTGCGACTTAATTGTTGCTAAGTGATTACCGCCGCTCATGTGCACACAACAATATTGACAGCCTTTCAAGAAGGACTTACTCTTTTCTTGAAATTTATATTACTGTGGTACTTCTATAACTTAAACTATATGCATGTCACGTGTATTTCTGTTTCAGTTTAAAAAAAGCACGAATAATGCCAATTTTCAAGTTTCTACTACTAGGTATGTTAGGAAAAATCGACTGTCGCAGACATAGACGATCAGACACTTAAATATTCCAGTTCGTTTCCGTTTCTTCCTTTCGAGGCATGAAACTCTAAAAATGAACCCAACGACTTCTTTTTAAGATTCATATATTTTTTCGTGTATATGTTATAAAAAAGTGGAAATTTTATTATAAGTATATCGTTAATTTGAAACCGATATTGATGTATTTTTCTGCAATCAATAGGCTTTAAGACACATGTTGGTTCCTTATTAATATTGGGACGGTTATAGGTTTCCAGTTTGTTTTATGTATAGCAAAATTTTTGCTTGCCTAAATTTAAATATTTTCAATCTAATGTTATTACGATACATTTCGTCTTTCATTGGTGAATTTTAATACTACCGCAGTACATTTTAATGCTATTTTGTGAAGAAAAATGTACGTGTTTGAGCTGTCGATTGACGATTTTGGTGTCCCCGCTTTGAAACACTCGTCAAGAATATTTAACTACTGACTCCAGTCAAGGAGTTCGGTAAAAATTCAATGAGTTCGCCTTAATTATGTCGACGAAGTTCACGCATTCATTAGCCGTTGTATTGTTTAATATTCATCAGGGTGCGTTCTACAAGTAACATTTTTACTTTGCGATTCGTCAAATCCTTGCGAACACAAATTATATGGAAATTAGACTAAGTTCATTTTGAGTAGAGCATCATTACTCAGTTGGATGCGATCGCAAAGTTCCCAAGTTAATCATTGTTCACAAAGCAACGCTCATTTTAGCTGCCAATCTCTTTTGAAAGTTTAGCTACCTAGTATTTACGATAAGTACTTTATATTATTAATTTATTTTATTTAATCTTTATGTAAATAGATCATGAAATAGTAATATTATAAATAATCGGTAAAAAGTTTAAAATCTGAAATCAAATTTATTCGTCTAAAATGAAACAAAATATCTACTTACTATAAGCTGATATAAGAAAAATATTTTCTTTTCATCATCATATCAGCGTTTAACTGTCCACTATTGAACATAAGCCTCACTCTTGAGGGTTTTGTCAGTAGTTGTCTCGCTTGGCAGGTGCATTGACAACCGCAGTCAGGTTTTGGAGATGTTTTAAGTGGGACGCTGCTGCCCATCCCTCGCCAAATAACAAACAATATTCCAAATGTATAGTAGGAACTAATAAATTATATATATTTACTGTCCTTTCTTTTGTTATACTCACACACAAAATAAAAATCAAGTGGTTGTTTGTTATCATTAGTTCTAAGATAAACCTAAAATTTTTCAAAATATATTTTAAACAAATACATTTTTGTTGTTTCAGATGCTGAATCGGACGTTGCGCGTGCTTATTATAGAAATAGCATGAAATTTATATTTTTTTTTTGTAATATAACTAAATAGTACAAAATATCGAACTTAACAAAAAGTTTTAACTTGAAATGCTCCGCGTATTTTAGTTAGTGTAGTAAAACATATGTTTTACCAAATCGACGCCATATCCTTTAATATATTGCAAAGATAGCTTTATCGTACGTAGTTTTATAGGCGAAAACAATGCCAGAGGTTCTCATAAAGCACCGATATCTTATAGGTTGTGATTTTTCGTGAGTAGCGTAGGGTAGGAGGGTTGGGGCGTCGGTAATGTGTGAAGATAAGGAAGAATCTCGGAGTGAGGCGGCGGCGGCGGCGAGTCCAAAACGGCTGTGTTGGTCACGCCGGCCCCCAGCGCCGTTGCCTGATACTAGGGGGCTCTGCTGCGCTAAACTGCTTAGGAAGAATGGAAAACCAAAGAAGGTAAGGCTTTATTCTTCTGTAATATCTATAAATAAGTGCGCCAGTGGCTCTATTATTTACAGACAAATTAACAGACTAAGTATATTTATATACATTTATTAGTGTGTGTTTTATCATTATTAATATTGGTAAGTAATTAGTTATTTCCTAGAAATTTTTAGTTATTATTAATAAATTTATAAAGTTTAATATTTTAAATTACTTTACCAAAGAAATATTCTGATAACAGTCTGATAAATGGTTTAGGAATAACTTTATTGACTAAATGAAAATATAGTACAAAAGGCGAACTTACTGCTAATAGCATTCTCTACCAGTCAACCTTCAGAATGAACAGTGAATCACAAACGTGGTACTTCATTATTGGGACACGTATACTTTAACCTATATTTTTATTTATATAGATTAATAATATAATTCACGCCGGTGAAACTACGAGAGAACAGCGTGTGTAATATAATTAGGATGCGGTCTCGTCACGCATATGATATCGCGTAATATTTCAAGGAATGCCGAACCCGAGCTTCCGTGCATGAGTACCTACCACAATCGAAGTTCGTAACTTCTCGCCACGGGCGGTTGACTCACACCGTACTTACCAAATACATCTTTCATAAGCACACCTCGGCCGAAGTTATTCTAAGACATATCCAGCCTTATTATCGAAGTTTCAGACAATGGCGGGATATTATGTACATTGTATTAAGGATGGTAACTAGTAAGGCAAATAGCTTGGCCGTGGAACCGCCAACTTTAGATCAAATTAGTTTTCGCTGACGATGCTCTTCTCTTCCAGTTTGATTATCCTCCCCGAGGGAAACAAACGAAAGCACATCGAGTTTGGCTTTCCACGAAATATGACATTTGTGTAAATAGGCACAAAATAAATACAATATTTTCATACATTCACGTATAATCCCAAGACGAAGTACTCGTACTTTTTTAAATACTACACATTGTATTTCACCATTTAATAATTAAAAAAGAAATATTTTTTCAAGAAAACTCTTATTATTAGTCTTGTAGTAAAATTTCACTCTAATTATATTCGGATTTTAAATGTCACTTACTGTGATTTAATTATTACGATGTGATTAAATATGACGATTTACTTAATTTACGATTCAAATATTCAGCCACTGTACCAACATTAGCTATGTAGTTTTTACGTAATATCTAAAAAAGAGCACATAGACAAAAATATATTAGCCTCTGTGGTCAGCATATGTATAAGAAAAGATATATCTAGAATTTATTGCATCATCTTCGATAAAATATAATGATGTAAACTGAACTCATCGGTATTACAATAACTATCTGACATCACACTACCAATAAATCACTCTTTTTTTATTTCCTTCAATTAGGTAAGTAAATACGAATTAAATACACGAGTCCATCTTGTAAATAAGAGACCGGAACTATGTTTACCTGTGAGTATGTTATGCTAGATTTACGGTTTCACCGCACCGCCACCCCAAACTCAATTTATACTGTAAAAGAAAATAAAAATGATTTTCTTCTGAATCAAACAGCATTCGGATGAGGATGCAGTCACTATTTTGCAATTCTGAACTTGCCAGAGTGCTTTCAATCTTACTAATGTGTCTAGATGTACTTACTATTCGATGTACATATATATACTGTAGTTCAGTATCTACTATGTAAAATGGAAGTACTGCATTTTTTAATGCAACATTGGCGGTAAAAAAGCCGATAGTCCAACTGGAAAATGAATGGAAAGTAGTAATCGTCGTGTCGCTTGTAGACATAACATCATGATGGATATTGCAAAATAAATTTTGATGCCCATTATGCACGTCATTCGTTACCTCTACTGATAAATAAAATCTTATGTCTATGAAATCTAAAACACAAATTCGACAAAAAATAAAGTTGTTATTTAATAATCTTTAGGTGCAATAAGGTTTTATTTTATATACCATTAAAATTTCTTACGCAGTCCTAAGATCCACATTAAAAATGTGATTTTATTGTTTATTGTCTTTTCTCTGCATTTTGCCATTTTATTAATTTCTTTCAGTTAATTAAGATTTGCATAATTTATAATAAAAGTACTGGTTCGTCCCTTCAACAGTGCCAAGTCTACAAATTTGTAATTAAGTATTTGAAATCCTTTGTTGACGTAGATGCTGACGAAACGAGAAAAATACAAGCTTCAAAGCGAACTCATTATTCGTAATTAGGCAAGGATTATGTATATTTTTTTACGAAAAATGCTAAAGGTTATCGTTATTAGTTAGAAATAAAAATAATGAGGCAACTATAGGGCAAAAGTTGGTGTTTTCCTCAGTAAATGCTATACTTAGTTGTACTTTCAACAAATAAATATTACTATTTGCCGAGTTACTACAATACCCTTATTTGCATACTTTTTACTTTTAATGTCTTTTCCTGTCCCTAAAAACAAGCGAACTTTCAGTAAGTACATAAGCCGTGTTAACACAGTCAGCAGATTGGTCCTTTTTGACACTTTTCTTATTTAATAGTTGTATTCGTTCTATTACTTACTACCTGAGTTCCAAAATACTAGTTTAATACGAATACAGTTTTATTTTATCAGTTATTGAAAAATAACTGTAACATCCTAATATTATAAATAGGAAAGTGAATTAGTTACCTTATAGCGCCTTAATGGCTTAACAAATCACTATGAAGTTTGTTATGGGTGTACATATGTACTATACGGGGTGGAGAAATATACAGGCTACGTTTTATCCCAGTCAGTAAACATATCTTGGTCAAGATGAAGTCACGAATAAAAGCTTATTAAATATTATAAATGAGAAAAAAATTACTATAAGAAATTGAATTATATGTAGGTATATCATTACAAGTATTTTATATAAAAAGGAGTGAATAAAAAATGATGAGTTGATAGGCAAGAATACAATACATATTTCATCGACCCTAATCGCAGAAATAGGGGCAATACCACGATAACAAATAGTCTTCAATTTCTGCTTCTATTGAGATCCGACAATTCAGGATCATAACGAATTATCGTTACATATATTCTTTTAATAGCTTCTACCACAAAAGTGGAAATCGAGTACAATATGTTATTCTTGTTTATTCCTCTCAAGGCCAATACTCATTATAATCTTTTGATTTAGATATGTACCTAAAAGATCTGGGCGAAGATTTTCGTAGGATGAACTTGTAACAAATTGCGGACAAAACAGCAGCGCTGAGAGTAATAATTTACTGTCCTGAGCGGCATTTAAACGATCCGTTCACGGTTTATCCGTCTGAACGAGTGTTAATTCTCTGAACCTCGAAGAGTTGAAGGTATAAAAGATTTTACGTCTTAAGAGTTAAATCCGTGTTTCTGCTGCAATTCTTAAATGCTGTTGTTACTGCCTTTGTCTTTGTGATACCACGTTCGAAGAGAGAGAAAACTTTTGTATCACAAAGGATGTGAGAATTTTGTAAAGGAAGTTTTATTCCATAAAATTTCGAAACTCCTTTCTGAACTATAGAAAAATTCAATGTTGAACGATCGATTACTTACTGCTTCAACTATTTACTTTTATGTAAGTTTCAGTTTCAGTCAAAGTTTACAACTCGTTGGACATTTTGTAATGCAGCCGACGCCAGGGCTCGATGTTAGTTCAAATAGCAAACTTGTCGGCCCGCCTCCAGTAGTTTGAGAACCAATCCGTTACCCACAGCTGTCTCACTTACAGTTTTTTATTCCAACACTTTTATTCAAAATATATTTAATAATAATAAGAGTCTTCTACATTCAGAAATTATTGTTTACAAATACTAATAATAAAAAAAAATTGTCATATGAATGTGAGAATTTCATTTATAAAGCAACACATATTATAACTTCTTCTAATGCCAAACAAAAATAGTTGATGGAAACTGGTAACTGTCGTCTATATATATGAACAGCACTATAACATTACAGAATATACTATTATATATTGGATACTGAAACTATTACTAAACAAAGGAAATAATTTATTAGATAACTGTCAAATCTATTTGAACCGTACCTACTGATTATTTAGTACATCATTTATGTCTAGACGAAAAATTTTGTGATTATGTATTTTTAAAATATATTTATGTATAATATACTCACTGTGTGTGCCCCGGTGGGAACGGGCCGCCCCTACATTTCCCGTGGGTGTCGTAAGAGGTGACTAAGGGAGGGCGAGGAATAGGCAGCAGCGTTTCTCTTTAAACATCTCTAGGATCCTAACTGCGATTGCCAACCCGCATGCCAAGTTTGGTAACTACTGGAAAAACTCCCCTTATGGGGAAGGTTTATGTCCAGCGGTGGACAGTTAACGACTGAAATATATTCTTTCGTTTGGCCTTTTGGCCGTGTGGTCCCAGCGTAGAATAGGCCACCCCTTCCTTTCTCATGGGTATCGTAGGAGGCGACTAAGGAAAGAAGAAAGAGGGATGGACAGCAGCGTCCCTCTTAATACATCTCAAAAACCTAACTACGGTTGCCCATCCGTCTGCTAAGTGTGTCAGTAATTACTGGCAAAACCTCTTAAGGAGAAGGCTTAGGTTAGGTTCAGCAGTGGACAGTAAAAGCTGATATAACTAATAAATATAAATACAAATGCATTCATGCAATTTTAATATTGGTAATAATAATTCTCGTTCATATTGCACTTGTAGTTATTTTGTGAAGCGCTTTGTATGAAAACTATTCTCACAAGTTATCTAAACAATTCCAATATCAATGAACAGACGTGGAACATTTTAAAGACCGCTCGGGTGTTTAGAACACGAGATGTGGGATTTAATATACCTAACCCATTGCATTCCCTTAAGACACGCAACTCGCGGAATTGTAAGAGAACTCTTGCCTTAAAACGATACATCTGATAGGATAGCGACATGTTCTGGACAGTTAATAAGATTTATCTGTTTCTAGACAAAACATAAAAAAGTTTTATCCATAACTAGATAAAACTTCTCAAAATATCATTGTCGATAAGTTTTTTTTA